TTTTTTTTTTTTTTTGGAGGGGTGGGTGGGGGGGGGGGGTGGTGTGTGTCTTTTTTTGTTTTGTTTTTACATATCGCCTTGCTCATGTCATGCCGCAAAACCGTCTTTACCATCTTCTCTTCTTTTTTAATTGTTTTCTTCATTTTACGAATTCAGAACTTTTGTAAACCATTTTAATATCTAATCACAAAATGATTAAAATCATGATGTAGACATGTTATATTTAATTGGACCAACTAAAGGTAAATGTTTCCTTGTGAGAGAGACAGGCACGCAGAAACGATGTTGTCTTTGCCTTTTCTGGGCGGGTCAAACGTTCTTTACACATAAAAAGAAGAGCAAAGACTCGCCTCAATGTCTGTCATGCAATGTATAATCTATAGCAGAACACACATTATTTTACTACATTTATATGTAGCCCGTGTTAGCTTTAAGGATATTTTCTGTATTCCGGAACCGTAAAAGGTATAATAATTATTTCTTTATTACCGCAATGAGTATTACATCATTCGTCCCTTCGAATAATACAAAAATGTCAACATAACTATCATCTAAACTCTAATTCAATAAAACTACGACGAAATATGAACAAAGGAAATATTTTCATGGAGACTTCTGAAAAAAGTATAAGACCAGTTGTTCTGGAATAGTAAGCGTCTTCCGCTTCTTCAACGACACCCGCATGTAAATATTGGTCAATCCAGGTAAGTAATGTCACGTTCTCAAATAAGAACAAAGATATATCACAACGGAACCAACAGGTAATCTAAAGAGAATCAAACACGTCCAGCTTCATTTCAAGCTAAGAAACAGAATATTTCTTAATAAGGTATCTATGGCGACCGTAAAACACAAACGTCATTAGGAAAAATAAATCGCGTGGCGGACAAAACGGTCCAGAACCTAGTAACAGCAATCAAACGAAAAAGATGCAAAATGACAAAGCATCCATATAATTGTACAAAAGACACACAAGTGAATAAAACCTTTCAATGAGAATTTAGAGTTCGATCAGTAGCGCTAAAACAATGAATTGAAACCACATCATACATCTGTTTCGTCCTTGTAAGAACCGACAGGGATATTCATACTGTATTGTAATGAGTCTGGTTTAGAGGACTATGACGTCCTGAACCAGAAATAAACTTATCTTATTTCATATCAAAGCCTGAAGTAAGTTATACCTTTGTAAACAGACAAACGGTTTTAAAACACTCTAAACTTTTGAATATGTATTGTTTTGAAAGACCATATACAACTTGTTATATAATTTTAAAAGAAGCATTTCAAGTAGGGTGTAAGTTACTGCAGTCCAATCAAATGCATTTTATTGTCAATGTGTTATTTGTGCTCACAAAATATTCAAAGTCTTTAAAATGAAGTTCAAACACGTCGGGTGGTAGTCAAAGAGCCATTTTTGCGACATCTTTTCATTAACTGATGTTTCCATGCCAACAGGTAATCAACAAAACAATAATACAATTTGAGGTATGACTTTATTGTAAGCGTTATTTGATGTTTAAAACAGAACGGCAGTCAAAATAAGTATTTGTACCCAGTAGAATATTAGTTTTATGGGTTCAAGGGCGAAGTAGCGTCTACTGAAAATATTGAGGCTTTTCTTAGCAGTGTTGCATCTTGGGCAACCATGGTCGCTGAAGTCTAATGCTGAACATTTCATGAAAGCTTTCGCGTTGCAAACTTCACACAATAAAATACGATGATAAAGGAAGGATTACGGACAGTTATAGGGTATCGGCAGTATGGTGTAGTGGGCCTAGTATCGTATTTCTATATTTGTGACAGCATCACGGCATCTTACCATTGATAGACTCAACGTAATCTATTACAGACAGAAATATCGACCAATGTCTTGTCTTGGCACGAAAATGTCAAAAAATGAACGAATTACATTTCCTGTCTTTTTCCGTATTAAAGAGGTTTATTCCGGAAGATGTTTGATAAATTTCTGTGAACCTTTAGCTTTTTACTTACATAAGACAGAACAAAGATCATTCAGTTGTTATTACCCACTATACGATAGTGTTCGTTTTGGTTTACGACTCACTGACGCAGTTAACATTACGTGCCAATCGCAGATAATGTCGTAAGAAAACTATGTCCCCGGATGACGAGACCATTCATAGACCGAAATAATGCCACTGTAGCATGGCATTTTCCCTGTGATATCAAACTAATATGTTTGACAAAATACGTCAAGCCAATAGCATAATAAAATACAGAAAACAAAAACAAAACAAAAACAAACAAAAAAAAAACAAAAACAAAAAAAACAAAAAAACAAAAAAATTATTACCATTCCAACAGCAAGAAAATGCATACTTATCAAGAGATTTTTATTCAAATACAAATTCCATGACACGTTGGCAAGACAAGAACAAAAGAAAGATTTCCACGTGCAAAAAAGTACAAGAATAAGACCAGGTGTTCCGAAAAGGTAAGCGTCCTCTGCTTCGTCATCGAAAACCGCCACGTAAATCTCAAATTAGAACAAGAAAAGCAATGTCTTCTCTGTCTTCCAACAATTTGATTTGATTTGATCTTTTTTTCATTTTCGTTAATGTGATGTATGGTTCAGTTTATTCTTTACCCTGTATTGGTCCTAATGATGTTTCTTGATGAGTGATTAAGAATGTATACTAATCATGTCATGTATGATAAATTGACATTAAAAAGAATGCCATTTCACTTGTGGAATATACCTTGGAGCATTTTGCATTGGATGCGTCATGCAGAAAATGATTGTGATAACATAATATGGACAATGACGTTACTTCATGAATTGAAAATGGTGCAACAAAATAGCTACGTCATTTTTTTGTTTTCCACAGATCTATTTAAAACCAGTTAAAACTCTCCAAGACTCGAAAAAAAAATCGAAAAAACTTTGAGATCATTATAAAATCTGCTATTAAATGGAAAATTAATTACGATCACTTTTTAAAATCCAGGCTATCACACACTTGATAAGGAATATATACATAAGACGGCAGTTTTGTTGATATTTGTTTGATATCAAAAGGATACACTGACTTGAACGACTAATTTTTGAACTAATCTAGATTTTGTCAACCGCATTTAAATCTAGGCGAAATGAGTAAACATAAATACATGTTTATATCAAGACCAAGAAAAAGATTTCTTGTAAAACTACAGACATGTTTTCTAGGTGAGGCAAATATAAATAGTAACCACGCCGATCAGATGGTTCCTACGCGTACCAGTCGGTGTCGATGTAATAGCTTGTGGTGGCTTTTGTTTCTTTGTCTACTAATATAGTCATACATAATGCACTATTGTTTCGTTAGGTTTGCAGCCGCTCATTAATGCTCTTTAAATGCATTCGATACGTCGGTAATGCACAGCTATCATAGAAATGAGCCGAAGTCGTTAGAGGCTGTGTTATGGTAATTTAGATACACTGGTGACAATCCCTTGATAAAATGGCAGGAAGTAGGCACTTGTGACATTTCTTTAACCACCATTGCGTTTTTTGAATTGTTTGTTATTTTTGTAAACTGTTAAGTAATGGTATGGGGTTTCATTCAGTGGGTCACGCCATGTTGTATATTAAATCACCTGATGACATTCATAATAACTGAAGTTATGTATTGACAAAACGCAATAATGACGGGTCATTATTAGGTCAGCGTTTTATGGAAACTCTGTTGTTTAATTAGTAAAGCAAGTATTGTATTGCAAAATCATTGCTTAAGGAATTAGAGTAACAGTATGACTGCTAAATTTCCCACTTTTGATATGACTAGGTAAGAAAACAATAGTATCATGGGGAAGTGAAAACAATAGTATCATGGGGAAGTACATTGTATGCGTGTTCATGCCATAGTAAAGCATACAGAATTTTAAAGAAACTGGTTGAAAACTAAGAGAGAGGATCTGAATACAAGATGAAAAGGTTGAAAAGAGCAAAGTGCAAGTAACTGTAAAAATCGGAGTGGCATTCAAGTAAAAAATATATCATCTGGTGATCATAAAGCTTATGTTTCAAGGACAAGGGGCAAGCGATGTATAGTCGAATCACACTACCTAGCACATTGCCATAGCATAATAATCGGCGCGTTCCAAAACTATTGACGGTTGCATGAAATCGTCAGCACCGAATCTTCGTCCTCAGAACAGATGTCAATTGATTTCCCATGTACCCTAATTGTGGAAAACAGAACCCCGTCTTTTTTAATTTGAAAACAAAAGTATATTAAAATGAAAATTATAGTCGATGCAAATTAATTTAAATATCCAATTGGTGAAGTTGTTTCCCATGAAAACTATGATCACCCTAGTTCTAAGACTTACATAGCGGCTGTCGTCGATGAAACAGATGGCGTTTGCTTTTCCAGAACATCTTATCTTATTTTCTTATTAGTTCATATTTGCACTAGATTTATTGAATTGGAATGTGGATTTTCACTTTTGTTGGGTTTTTGTTGTATTTTCCCCTGACCAGGTATGATTGTGGACTGTGTCATCTTACAGGTAGGAAATCTGAAGGGCTTCTTCAAGCCTTTCAATCAAATGTCTTGTTTCTGAAGCATCCGATCATGTTTTCTGCTGCTTGAGGTTCGAGTGTTAAAGGAGACACGGAGTAGAAAGAGATGGATATCCCTATTGGGTCATAAGATCATTTATATCATATAGTAATTACGTTAGTATGTATGTTAGTGTCATCCAATCTGCCGGGATCTGAAACCGAAACCGGTCAGTGGCTTCTGCCCTTGCTTGGCATAAGCTGTTTTTATCGTTGTAGCGTAACGCGTTTCGTGCAACAAGGCGAATAACAGCCGCCGAATAAATCCAATGTGTATGGGGTCAAATGAACAAAATGATTACTAAATCTTATTTGTTTGTGCAGTAAAATCTACGAACAGATCATTTGAATACAATTTGGAACAAACAAGCACACATATCTATTTGAAACGAAGACATATCAACAAAAAAAGGAGTCTTAAATATGTACTTACATGTTTCGAACGACCGCTTGCCAAGTTGGGGAAAGAACCGAAAGTTTTGTGTCCTCCGGATGAGACGTCGTCCTAGAGCTATCCTATTGTACCGTCTGGCGCGGCCATAGGATGATCTGTTCCTCAGAGATCTGGACAGATTCAGTGATGAAAGAGATCTTTTCCTGCGAGAATGAACATCTTCAGTCTGGTCGTCGAACAGTTCATCATCTGGGGAGGATACCGATCGTTTTCCAAGTGTTCCAAAGAACATTTGACGGCGTTTTCCAAGAGATCCATAAAATGCTGGACGCATTTTCATTCGGCGTTTTTCCATGTCGTCATTTTCTTCATTATCGTCGTTGAGCCTCTTCCCCAATGAAGCAAAAGCAAATCTTCGTCTTTTTTCTAGGTCCAAATCGTCCTCGCGTTTTCCTAATGTTCCAAAGAATTGTTTAAATCTTCGTTTTTCCATGTCGTCACTTCCGTCAAAGTCCGTCATGTCCTCTATGGACGTTCCATCTCGTTTTCCTAGATTGCCATAAAATCGAAAACCCTTGTTGCGTCCCCGCTTGCCTAATGACCCGAAAAAATGCATCCGTCGCTTCTCTACATCATCTTCGTCTTCGTCCTCTTCTTCGAGATCTCTCTTGCCCAAACTTCCAAAGAAGTACTTGTTGGCCCTTCCTCGTTTATCAAGTTCATCCTCCAGGGCATCTTCTTCATAAGAACCTCCATCCCGTTTCCCTAACCCAGCGAAAAATGATGGCATGCGTTTTCCTAACGATCCATAGAACATTTTGCGCATGCGTCGTTTTTCCATGTCCTCAGGATCATTCCGCTTTCCAAGAGCACCATAGAAACCATATCTGTTGCCCCCTCGTCCTCTTTTGTCAGGAGAGTCTGTTAACAATAAGTCGTCTATGTTTATACCACTTGCACTACGTTTCACTGGTTCTTCGTGAAAAGTGCTATAGTCTAAACCGGCTTCATCTGAACTTGTATCCGCCTCTCGTTTCTGAATGTTATTCCCTACTTTAGTGTTGTGTAATGGGAGGTTCTCCTTTGAGCAGTGGACCGCGATAAAAAGACACAAGAAGGCTAGTATTGATGTCAAGGGCTGCGATTTGTGTTGTCCATTCGTCATCTCAACTCGTTGAGGCCTGCAACAGAAACAAATATTACAGCTCGCGTTGCGAATTATACAAACATGATCTGATTGTTTTTTGACTGAAAACCAGAATCAGTCAATATTTCCTATTCATTAGCAAACAAAAGTAAAAGGAATGATAGACGGTCATGCGTGATATGAGCAGTATAACATATTACTTGTACAATCAGCAATTTCAATTAATTGTTAAAAATCTGTTAACCTTAAAAACACCTGGTAAATGTCAATGCTAGGAAACATCTTTCATCGATAATCAAAGTACTTTCGGACGTAAAACCATTGAAATATAGAACGAACAACGGATTTTATTCTATTAACTGCAAAGAAATCATAAATGAATTCAGAGGCGTAATGATAATATATCAACTCAAGTTCTTTAGATTTGAAGATGACAGGAGGAGAATGCCAAGAACCCATTTATTGACTTTTTCGTGATAAGGAGGCCAATGTTTAATCTGTTACAGGGATAGTTGTTTACATAAATACACAAAGGTATATATATACACGTATAAAACTGGAGTGTTTATAACAAATTTTAGCTTGTAAAATGAACAATTTTTTTCAAAATAAGTAGACATATATGATCAAGCCTAAAAAAAGCAAGTTGTAACTATTTTTTAAAATTAGACGAGAAAATCTATAAAATAATATATTGGTGGAAACACTTTCTTAATATAAATTTATGTATATGTAAAAACACTATGTTTACAATAAATTCAAAAATATATCAAATCGTGACATGCTCTATCGGCACTAATATTCATTATTGCTATTGCCAAATGAAGGCATTGTTTATGTGTTGAATGATTTGGCATTGGTAATATAATGAGAATATTTCAGGAGCAGAGACTCGGTCAGGAAAAACAACATTGTCATTAAAATGAATATGAAAATATCATATATTGTATTAACGCTATTAGTGTATTAGAACCAGTTTAGAATGACGTGTATCAATGTCAGCGATAATGACCTGAAACATAGTCTCCATTACTGTTGTTTTATTTAGTATTTAGTGTGAGGAAAGAATGTGTATTCTTTAATTATCAGGACAGTTGGAGAAATATGAACACATTTTATGACTTAACGCGTACAGTATCACAGGAACGTTTACTCCATGAACGAAAGTATTGACACTTTTTACGACTAAACGATTCATATGAGCGTTGTTTATTTTCAATTTAATCAAATAGATATTCTATACCTGTATCCATATTAAGTTAAATATTGCTATGAAATACACATAAAATAACTAATACAAACAAATTAAAATATTATCAATAGCTTAATCTTGGTGATGATATTCATTTTAACGTTTCTTCGTAGTTTGGAAAGGCAGGCGAAGGACACAAATGAGCTATCGAAAATGCAAGTATCCGTTTCGTCTATGTGGCTGTTTAAGAAATTGTCGCATTTGACAGATTTAGTGGGACATGCAAAACACCCAACATTTACAGCGAATCTGTCATTAATTGCAGCATATTTGGCAACAATTTGAGAAATATTTGCCGTGAATTTTGTCGGTCTGCTTTTTTTTTTTTTTTTTTTTGTGTGTGTTTTTTTTTTTTTTTTTGAAGATGAAATTCTTAAGGAACCGTTACAGAAATTCACAACCAAAAACTCAAGTTTTATTTTACAAATACAACACACGTATCGCTACAAAATGGATGTATATTTCGTAGCTGATTTCACTAACTAAGGTGCAGTTCCAACTAAATCATGTGCGTGTATGCTCACGCAATTTACTCGACAATCAACGTTGTGATCGGTTGCCAACTCCGTTCACAAGTTGTGATTATTTAAACCATTTTACAATGTGTTGCCCTTGAGGTAATCAACGTTTCATTGATTACCGAGTAATGCGTAGAACATTCGCTTTATATGGTTAAAATTTCCTCGCATTTTTCGTGGGTGACATAAAACGAACTATTCTAAAGATTTTATTTTCAGGATATCTAGTATCGGCGATGTTGCTCGCTCCTCGAAAGAACATTTTTTTGAAGAATATATATTATAAGGTTACTCTTTAAGAAAAAATGTTTTAATTTATTTTTAAATGCAAACAACCAAAAAGTAGATATATTGTGATTTTGAATGTTGTAGTCGTGAACTTATGTACTCATCATTCGGAAATAGAATTGATGAACACGACTGTGTCAATACTAACCCGGAAATGGTCTGTTTATATTGAAATTAGATAGTCGACATAGACCATTCGGCAAAGTAAACTAATGAAATGCTACACAGAATCAGGTAAAACACCAAATGTCCCATTAGCTAATTGGTCAGGCAAGTCTAATTTTTCTTATATAACACTGAACGGGCGTAAGTGCAAATTATTCCGTAGAGGCATATCAGCGTGTCGTTCAGGCATTTTACCGACAATAATGAAATCGATCACGTGCTATATTTCAACAACAAGTACACATAGGCGCGCTTAATTAATTCCGAGAGGTGATAGCCTATGTTGTAGATTTTATACGTGGTATCTACGGGGACGTAGTTTCGATAGTATCATTGTAATTTAATGTAGCAAGCTAATTGGGGAATTATCACAGATTAATTAAACCTGTGCCTGAGAGAGACATGAAGTACGTGCTCCATTTGATCTTTACTTGCAGATGTTTATCTGATGTTATTTGTGTACTAACACAATATATTGATAACACGAAAATAAACGAATCTGGACACAATTCATCGTCATTGTGAATAGTACTAAACAGGAATACCATTATCTATAATACTTAGACATTAGGCATAAATTGTCGCTCCGGGCTTCACAAAGGTTTAACGGTAAGCGGAACGTGATGCCCCGACCTTTACAAATGGCGTCGTTCGTGCGGTCATTTGAACAATTACTGGACAACATCATGCGGAAACAAAACAAAATTAAGAAGAAAAACAAACAATTACTGCTATAGTAGCTTCGAAAGTAAATACATTTGTACCTAAGTTTGTTCGTACATAGAGAGTTTTTCTTTGAGGGGACTAAATGGTCAGTTATTCATTTCATAACTGAAATAAAACATTATAATATTTAAATATAAGTAAAACAAAATTATACTTTCTGTTAATTATGATATTTTCAAATTTGCATAACCATTTTATTAACAACGTCAAAATGAATTGAATCAAAATAGAAACGATCCAACATTGATTCGTATCATCATCGTTCGGAGAGTGTAAACAATATGTTTGCGCATGCAATTTGAGATTCAGATTTATTCAAATTAATTTATTTCGCTCTGTCAGGCGTACAGCGTGAAACAAGATGTCATTTTACAAAGGAAGAATTGAAACATGACTGGCAAATTAAATTTTGGCTAATTACATAATGATACATAGTTAGAGATCATATCACAACCGCGGGTTAAATCGAGGATCCGAAAGGTCACGTGATGAACTCGACTATCTCTGATCAAAACAACGATGGGTGGCACACACATCAGTGAGTGTCGACTTCCCTTAGTTTGAAGCTGATAATCTTGATCAATTCTCTCAGAGAAAGTTATAATTTTGTGAAGAGTCTAATTTAAAGTATTACAATGCTTGCCCGAAATCAAAAGCATGGGAAAAATATTGAAATTTAATTATTAAGTCCCTTTAAATGGCCTTGTAGCATTTAACCAAACAGCCCTCTGTTATCGGGCTGAACTTATTTTCCAAACTAACCACTGCGGGATTTGTTTTAAAATATTGCTGAAATTTGTGTAATACTGGCAAAGAACCATATTTATTCAAGGATGGTCCGCACTATTTTTTTGGATGACAAGATCTATTATAATTTTAAAATGGCCAGACCTTGTGAGCGATGCGAGTGAACCTGGTTTCAGGAGCTTGCAATGTGTTCATGTGAGCTTCCTTTTGATAGGACGGAACTGAATTGACCACATTGAATTTACAGAGCTACCACATTGAATTTACAGAACTGCCTCATTGAACATACAGAGCTACCACATTGAATTTACAGAACTGCCACATTGAGTTTACAGAACTGCCACATTGAACATACAGAACTGCCACATTGAACATACAGAGCTACCACATTGAACATACAGAGCTACCACATTGAATTTACAGAACTGCCACATTGAGTTTACAGAACTGCCACATTGAACATACAGAACTGCCACATTGAGTTTACAGAACTGCCACATTGAATTTACAGAACTGCCACATTGAGTTTACAGAGCTACCATATTGAACATACAGAGCTACCACATTGAATTTACAGAACTGCCACATTGAGTTTACAGAACTGCCACATTGAACATACAGAACTGCCATATTGAGTTTACAGAACTGCCGCATTGAATTTACAGAACTGCCACATTGAGTTTACAGAGCTAACATATTGAACATACAGAGCTACCACATTGAATTTACAGAACTGCCATATTGAACATACAGAACTGCCACATTGAACATACAGAGCTTCCACATTGAATTTACAGAACTGCCATATTGAGTTTACAGAGCTACCACATTGAATTTACAGAGCTATCACATTGAGTTTACAGAGCTACCACATTGAGTTTACAGAGCTATCACATTGAGTTTACAGAGCTACCACATTGAGTTTACATAGCTACCACATTGATTTTACAGAGCTACCACATTGAATTTACAGAGCTACCACATTGAATTTACAGAACTGCCGCATTGAAATTACAGAACTGCCACATTGAACATACAGAGCTACCACATTGAACATACAGAGCTACCACATTGAGTTTACAGAGCTATCACATTGAGTTTACAGAGCTACCACATTGAGTTTACAGAACTGCCACATTGAATACTATAGCTAAAGGCGCCAAACAAATGGTCGCAATATGCCGACTTCTTTCAAATCAGTCGTTACACTACTTATTCACTTTCTTGCTTATAACTCACCACCTAAAACTAAATACATCTGGTTACAAGTAGGATTACGACGAAATATTCCTATCGCGATTCGTTTTTGTGTGTGCGTGTGT